ATGACCTTTCTTCACAACCGTGCTTGTCATTTAGTCGATCCCATGGAAGTTGCACTTCCTAAGGAAATGTTCCACTATGATGAGGATGGAATTGCATGGATCAGCAAAGAAGATGTGAAGGAATTTCTACGTGGTGCAAAGCTTAACATTTCCCTCATTCAAACATTCATGAGGTACTTCAATGCCCACATAATCTATACTTTTTTCAAGTTATTCAAATTGATGGTGATTATCCTACATCTGATAAATTATTCAATGTTCATGCACGCAGAGCACTACAGGAGCACTTAACTGACACTGATTCTCCTTGTAAAGTTGGGTGGTTATGCCCCGAGCAGTTATCCACTACTAGAATCATAGGCAACCCCCATGACGTGTTGTACTATGTTGAACAGAGTATCAGGGAATCAGCGCGTGCGGGAGACAAGTTCATATTCGCCCCATGTTATAGAGAGTAAGTCTAACCATGTCAAATTCAATCGATTTGGCCTCATTATATGTTGACTCCTAAATATTAATTACCTTGTCTATTGTGAAATTATGTAGGGAGCATTGGAGCCTCATGGTGATTTGTAATTCCACTAACACAATTTATCACCTTGATTCAGCTCGATCATCGGAGAAGTGGCTCGTGAAGTCTATATTGCAAAAGTAAATATATATAGAAACCTAGTGATGATTATTGCTAATAATAACTAATTTAGTAATCATACGACTAATCAAATTTGAATGTACTTTTTTTTTTTACTACAGTGTTATGAAGAAGCTACATTGTCATGCTCCAAAGGGTCCAACATGGAAGTCACCGTTGGTAATTTACATGATATTGTGATTATCTTGAAAATCTATGTTAGTAAATATTTGCTCATTTCCTTTGCATGTTTCACTGATGTGATTTGTTTATCATATGCTAGTGCGCACAATAAGAGAATGGACTTGATTGTGCTTTGTATGTGATGAGATTCATGCTTGACATTGTGACTCATTGTACGGACACTCAACAACTTGATGAGGTAAGTCCTAAAACTTATTGAAATGCTATATTGATGTGATTTCTAGCCTTAGACACCTAATATTACCCAACAATGACATGTTATGAGAAACAAAAAGGCCATTTCACAAGAAAGGTAGAAAATGGGCTGAATAGAAGTCATATGGGCCATATTAGGGCCATTTTGTGTTAATATGCTCTTTTGATGTGATTTCTTTCCTTATACACCTATAACTAGATAATATTGACATGTTATGAGATAAATAAAGTTCATTTAATAAGAAATGTAGGAAATGGGCAAAGTAAAGTCATATAGGCCATATTCGGGCCATTTTGAGTAAAAAGCGTCATAAACCTTAATAAAATGCTCTCCTATACAATTTTAGGGCTTACACACATACAACTACCCAACATTGACATGTTATGAGAAAGAAATACTTAATTTGATAAGTAATGTAGGAAATGGGCTACATAGAAGTCATATAGGTAATATTTGATAAAATACATATTGTTTTGCCTAATTAATTAATTTTAACATAATGTTTTTGTATTTCAAGTTTTGCAAGGTCCAAAAAGATGGTCCGTTGACAATTAAGCAGCTTATGAAGTTCGTGATATGTTGGCGTCTTTTATCACCTTCAACATGTAAATGGCACTGTAATTGTAAATTATTTATGTTAACTTTTGAACTATATAACTTATTATTCATTATATATGTACTTACTATTATTTGTATATGTAAGCAACTTTTTTTTTGTATTGCGTTTGGGAATATTTATATCTATATATATAATTGAATTCTTGTTTTTAATATTATTTTTGTATCTTATTGTAATAATTAATAATATTATTATAATTAGTTATTATAATAATATTATTAATTATTATATTTAATATAATTGCTGGAATTACAGGTTATTATTATTGCTGGAAACAGGTTATTTTTTAATAAATATTATTGCACGAAAATTGGAAAAAAAAAAACAAAAAAAAATTGGTGAATAGGCACCGGTTAGGCAGCAACCGGTGCCTAAAATAGCTACCACCAAAAAAAAATTGGTGGGAGAGCAGTTTAAGGCACCGGTTAACCAGTGCCTAAGTGGGCATACAACACCGGTTAACCGGTGCCTATTTTACCCTATGGCACCGGTTTTGAACCGGTGCTAAATATATGGTTTTTGACACCCCTCACATAGGCAGCAGTTCAAACCGATGCCTTAGACCGGGTTTGAACCGCTGCCAAAGGCCTTTTTTCACCTAGTGAATCTAAGCCCTTAGATCATGTTAATTGGATGGTCCGATCCATGATCACCTCTTCATTTCTGTGAGCATCCCATTTATACATGTGGAGATTTTTGATTTTTCAATTACCATGATCTAATTAAGCTTATAGATTAGTTCATAATTCTCATTTTAGCCTTTGGTTCTCACATGATCTCAATTATATATAGAAATGAGATCATGTGAGAATTTAGGTGCATATATATATATATATATATATATATATATATATATATATATATATATATATATATATATATTTATATAATGACAGTGCACATACTAATCAATCTCAGTCATTGATCACGCTCATCTTATGGCTCACGTTTCACCCTATTCATTAATGAGATAATTTTTTTCCAATTTATTCACTTTTAACGTAATTTCATTAATTTCTTTTTACTAATTTCATTTACATTTTCTAGTTTTTAGTTTATTTTAGTATTAAATTAACAAGACTTTATCCAAAATAATTCTTTCATCATTGAAATTAAAAATTTGTCATTTTAGCTGCTACTTGATGATAATTAATACTATGGCTCTGTTCTCTTTAACTTATTTTAAGTTCAATTTATTTCAGCTCCAATAAGTTCAGTTCAATTCTTAATTTCCTTCTCTCATAAAATATTCAATTCATTTCAGTTCAGCTCAGTTTAGCAAATCAGAACAGGCCCTACGTATGTTTTCAATCTTCATTGAAAGTTAGAATAAATTTTGCAAGGGGCCGGTGTAGGCGTAGCTCGAAGTGCGCCTACGTAAAAGCATGTGTGAATATGTTTGGCACTCTTAGGAAGTGAGAATTGACGTATACGATTAGGGACAAGGAAAGTAAGGAGCTGCAACAAGTTTTTAAGGAACTTGTAAACCGTTCACGAATCATAAAAGGCAACCACGATTAAGGGACAACGATAGGCAACAACGATTGACCCGTGAAGGTTACACCCCATTCATAATCCATGAGATTACTAACTCCATATGGTTCGGAACCACGAAAGGAGGATCGGGGATGATGGTACGAAGTGAGTCATGCATGGAGTCACATTCGCCCGCATTGGCCTGTACTCGATTCTTATAGTGAAAAGTATTCCTGCAATCTCAAAGGCATACAAACAGAGATTCAATTTGCTCCAAACTATTATTAAGCTAAATTGGTTTAATATTAATGCAACACATAATTCAAAAATATCGTGATCACTTGATTAAACAACAAGATTAAAAAGGATCCTAAACCGGTTGTCCAAATTATCTTATTAGGCGTGATTTTCAATTACATATTCCCTTTAAACATGCAATAATATAGTGATCAATAAAAATAATAATAAAATCAACATTATTATTGGAAGAAATTTAACAATAATTCCAACAATATAAAATCGTTAGAAAAATAATAGAAATAAAAGGAACATAATTCTTACTTTGATTCTGTTTGGTTGCAACTATAAAATAATAAACGAGTTAGTAACTTCAAGGAAATAATAATAAAACAATAATTAAATTAAATAGAATTGATTTGGGGCCAAACCCTCAAACAATTCTACCTTTCACGCCTTGGCTTAAGGACAGAACCACGAGTAAAGTATGGACTCCTTGGAGTGCTTGAAGAAGGAATTATGAAAGAAGAAGGGTAGGCTAGTGTGTAGGCTAGAACACCGAAAAGAGAAAATAGAGAATTAATTGATGCCCCGTACATCAGAAATGAGAGGGTATTTATAGAAAAAATGTGCTGAGGAAACATACGGAACCCTAAAAAGATAAAAACCCTAAAAAACAATGCCGCGACACGGCAAAGTATACCGTGACACGGGAAACCCCACCGTCAGACGGGAAACATTCCCGTGACACGGTGCACTTGTTGTGTGACGCGGGAAATATTTAGTAAACGGGGGAGAAAACACGTTAAGGGTTTACGCGGAAAGGAAACGAAAACTCCCGTGTCACAGCAGGTGTCTCGTGTCACGGGGATTCGCAATGTCTGACGGGACAGGTTCCCGTGACACGGTGGACAACTCCCGTGATGCGGGAGTCTGTGGTCCGTTTTTCCGTCTAAATTCATTTTTAACCCTAATTTCGTTCAGCATTTTAAGTGTCGATTGATAATTTCGAGCCATTTCTGATTTATTATTATTATTTGGGCTAAAATAAATAATAAATTAAAGGTTTGGGTCAAAATAAATAATAAAACAATAAATAAAAAAGGTTTGGGCTGAAATTAAAAAACTATGCTTTGACTAAACATCAAGACTGATCCATGGACTATTGAATTTAATTAAGTACGATTTTTTAAGCACTCTCGGGATTAAATACTGAACCTGACCAATAGTGACAGTGAAAGGTTGTTCATCATCGGGTTTGTTTTGGGGAGACATTTTTAGGTGTCTACAGCCGGCTTAAATAACTAAGTATTTACTTGTAAAATTATTTACTTTTTTTTTTTTGAACGGAGTAAAATTATTTACTTTAATAATCTTTTGCTTTACTTTAAACCTATGAATTTGGTTCGCAGTTCTCATTATAGAATTAGTTCTCATGTGAACTTGGTTTTCTATATATATAAGGGTATGCATGTGTACTTGTTAGAATCCTATAGATGTGTAACTTTCGAATGATATAAATATTTTATCATTTATACTAATTTATAATTACAGAAAACTACTCCGTAACTTTAATTAAAATTTCACTTTAAAAATATATTTGTCCAAAACTCCAAAACATTTATTTTAAAATATATAATGAGGGGTATAATAAGAGCTTGCCCCAATTAATCAAAATGATAAAAACAATCCTACCTTGTTGGATTCTTTAATTTAAAGTGTCCCATCATAACACCCCCTTTCCCCTCCCCAAGTCCTTCTCTCCAACCCCCTTTTTATTTATAAATCTCTCGTATCCATCATCTTCTCTACCAATCACCTTCTCTACCAATCACCTTCCCCTTAACTTCTCTCTCCCTTGACCATTTTATCACTACACAAATACATACGCGCTCCTTTCCCCTCTTCTATTTCCACCCTTTTTCCTCCTACCCAAAAAAATTAAAATGGTTAGTTTTGTAACACTTTAATTATTTTCTAACACCTTGTTCGTTAAATCTTTCATCAATCCCTAAGACCCTAACTAACAATTGAATTTATTCTTGCAGGAGGTAGAAAATCACCAACTTGCACAAAAACAACAAGGCGGCCGCGGCAGTGGTGAGAAATGGGAAGGCTACGTCGATTGGAAGGGCCGGCCAGCTCGTCGTGGCCGCCATGGCGGATTTGTATCCGCATCTTTTGTTTTAGGTAATAATCAACAAATAAAGTATATAAAATCAATCCTGACACTCCAACCTCAGCTAATGGTAATAACAGTCTCAAGATTGGTTTTATACTCTATCCGTAACTATTGATATCCCCATTTAAAACGTATATATATTCAAAATTGAGAATTTGCTATATAAATAATTTTGTGTATTATTATTATTATTATTATTATTATTATTATTATTATTATTATGTAACAGTGGTGGAAGTGATGGAAAATATGGCATTCTTGGCAAATGCAAGCAATTTAGTATTGTATGTATCAAAATACATGCATTTTACGCCATCAAAATCATCAAATACGGTCACAAATTTCATGGGCACCGCTTTTCTTCTTGCTTTGTTGGGTGGTTTTCTTTCGGATGCCTTTTTCACAACTTATCAAGTCTATCTTACTAGTGCTCTCATTGAATTTTTGGTAAGTTTGTTCAATTTTTCCTCTACTTTTAATTTAATATGTTTTTTTTTGTTAATTTATATTTTCCAACAATTATTAGTCAACTTGCCTTTGATGGTATTATTTAATTAAAGTTCTAGAGTATTTTTCTATGATTTGATTCGATATACCATTTGATTTTTCTTTAGGAATTGCCTCTTAATCGAATATTTGCATGGTTGAGCCACATAGTTATTTGGTTTTGTTATCTTGAATTTCATTAATTATTGACTTCTTGGACTATAATTTAATTTAATTTTTGTAAGCTAAAAGAAGCAAATGTTTCCTTTCACATTAAGGATTAACTTTTAATTTACTAGAAATAATAATTTTACATTTTCTAAAGCCATGTAGTGATAGGTTTAGTTGTAATCAATGGTTTGACATATGTATTGCCATAGGGTGTCAGTTGACACGCCAATAATAAAAACAAATCTACATAATTCAATTATTTTGTTTCAACAATGTTTCTTTAATTTTAATTTTATACTTTGTATATTTTTGTCTGACTATAATGATGTTGACATTAATAACCTGTTACATAAAATAAAAGGTTATTAAAATTTAATACATTCTTTTACTTGTCACCAATTAATTAGTTACTTTCAAAAAAAGAAAGTAATTTTAAAATTAATTTTCCAATTTGTGCAAAATAGAACTCAATTTGCCTAATTTGGTCATGAAACTCTTATAGAGAAATATTAAATTGATTAATTTTATAAAGAGACTTTAAAGTTAGGAAAAGAAAATAGGAAAAACAACTAACCTTTGTTGCAAGTATGGACAATAAACGTTTAGATAAAGTAGTTTTTAACAAAAATTGGTTTCAAAAAACATATAAAATAATAGTAAGCCCCAAAAGCTAAGGAAAAACCCATGTTGCTAATGTCAATTTACTTCATCTATATTGTCGTTTAATGATGGGTGATTCCTTTCACAAACACAGCCTAAATTTGTTTGGTAGTAATAATATGGATTTCATATTGTCTTAATTAGTGAATGATTTAGCTTTTATATGAAAAGCAAAGGGTGAATAATTTTAGTTGCTATTCTATTCTTTATAGTCAAATTCATATTTTACTTGTCATGGTAATAGGTTATTAGTTTTAAGAATTTAAGGGGTAAGTCATAAGTAGGTAATATGTACACTTTACATTTTTTAGACTAGTACGGATTAGTGTTTAAGATAGACCATAACTTAAGGAGTCGATATCAAGCTTAGTATGAATATTTAATTAAGCATGTCAATTACCTTTCTCCTAATACTAATAATCATTGAAAAATTTTATGATTCGAATTCTAATACACTTAAATATACGGAGTGAAAAAAAAAAAAAAAATTCTGATTCAGACTAAGGAATAACCGCGTAAACCCTTTAGAACAAAAAGTATATTTAGTGTTAATAATTTCTCAAAAGAACCACTCTATAATGTTTTTTTTTTTCTTTTTTTTTTTTTGACAAAGGGTTTTTTTTTCAAATGCACAAACTTTCACCTTTTAAAAAAATATAAAATAAAAAGTTTGGCATAGTACATTATCCAATTTTATTCTCTTTCGTACACACGATGCTGAATATGATTTCGAAAACATTAATTTTGACAGAGAAAATTATGTCCATCGGTGGATTTTAATTCTATATTTTTTTTATTTAAATTATTTTGTTGAATTAATCAAAGAGCTCGTAAAATCTGTTGATAAAATTTTGGACAGATATGATAAGTGCAGTCAGTATTAGAGATTATAAATCGCCACGCATTCCAATGTACAGTATAACTAACTGCACTGAACCCATGGTCTTAACAACGTGGGACTCTGATCTGGATAGGACTATCTACGCAAGCAGGAAGTACTAATCACAATCAAACCTTAAAATATTAAAAAGTATTCTGAGCACATGGGGTGAGAGAAAGGAGGAGAAAGATTGACAAGTGGGACTAATTTTTAAATGTATCACTAAAAACTTATATAATATCATTGAATATGTATTGATATTATTTCTATACGTAGTTGGTAACTTGGTACCACTAAATGAATATATTGTACCATTGAATGAATATATAGTACCACTGAATGTTCAGTGATACTATTTGATCATCTAGTGATACTATTAATCACCCAGTGGTACACTTAAATCTAGCATGTGGGGGTGAGAGAAAAGGAGGAGAGAGATGGGTAAATTTCATGCGAAATGTCTCAAATGCCCCTTAATATGTATATACAAGTACCTATCAAACCTCCTTTTGGAAGGCCTCCAAGGAAAGAGACATGTTGCCCAATGCCCACAGTGCATAAATGACTTGGACTATTTTATTTTCGAGTATTGTTATATGTAGTCCCATACTTTCCCTTTGCAATATTTTCATTACTTTTCATTAGCGGCCGTTTTTAAATACTTACTTCATTTCCTTCTTTAGAAAACTTTTACAATATTTAATTATATCTCTCAATTAGTAGACCTAATATAAATCATATTTTAATAATTTCATATTCTCTCTCCTCCGATTCTCCCAATTACTTTTACCTTTTATAATTTTTTATTTTTTTCACCTATCCCACTACTTCCATATTTTATTATTTTTTTCAATTTCTCCTAATACTCTATGTATGAATAATGAAACAAGTATTTAAAAATGAAGGGAGTATTATATACCCTATTCATACTCGTGTTTACTAGTACATGTAACCATGTAAGCATTTTACTCGTATGTGTATTTTGAAATTATTAATTAAAATACCAATAAGTTTGGAAATCAATACATTAAATACGATAATTTAGTATTTAGTATAATGTATGGAGACAAATATAATAAATTCTACTATAATTATTACGGAGTAATATATATATATAGTATTTATTTTTGGGTAATGTTATACATAACCCTTAGGGCTATATATAAGCATTGAATTTACTCTTGAAAAATGTATAAAGTTAGGAATTCATGACAAAAACACACGCAAATCGGTGTAATTAGTGTGTTTTTGTCATGATTTTCTAAATTTAAACAATTTTCAAGAGTAAATTAAATGCTTATATGTAGCCCTTAAGGCTATGTATAACATTTTCCTTTATTTTTTTACACAAGATATGAGTAATATTTACGGAGTACAGTACAAACACAACAAATGTTTTTCATTAAAATAAATTAAAATAAAAATACAAAGTCAACATGTCGTGATATATATGTAGCGGTCTTAAAAAACACTGTATGTAACATTTTCCATTAAATTATACGCATTAATTACTTCAAACTTGGGGCAGACCAACAAACAAATGTAGGAGCGCAACATTGTCTGGTGTATGTGTAATGTGTAGATTAATGTATCAATTTTTTGTTATTTGGACTCAATTTTTTGCTATTTGGACTTACATACAGTACACTATTAATTGCTAATACTAATAATATTGCTTACCCTATTAGTATCATGCAGCATCCTTTATTTTGCTTTTGCCTTTTGCAAGTTGATTATCCTCCGGTATAAACTTCTTGTTTTTGTTTTCTTTCTTTCTTTCATCCTCATAATAATTCTCTCTTTATGATTTTGTTTTCTATTAAACTTTTGCAAGTTGAGTCTAAAGCTAAAATACTAAAGCGGTGGTTTCTTGCTAATAAATTAAATGCGCCCACAAGTTTTAACAATTAATGATCTGAGTAGTGGTTTTTGCTTATATGGTGCACTTGACTATTCACATTAGCTAGTTTTTAAAACCTTCTCACTTTCAAGATAACATTCCAAGAATAGAAAAGTGATATATTGACAAGCCTTCGATCTATAATCTACCTAAACAAGTTCAAAATGAAATTTAGGTTAATCGAAATATTTATTTATACATAAAAGACGTTCCTTTTAAAAGAATGGTGTCACGTGGCACTCTTCAAAATATGTGTGCCTATGTCACAATGCCACGTCATTATCCAACGTATATGCGCAACGTAAGCTAGCCACTTCACTTAACAACAAGATTTGAAATCATAACCTCCAATATATATAGGTAATACTTTTATCATCTCAACCAACTATTATTAATGTTTCAAGTTTCACATAATATTAAAATATTCCTTTCATTTATTAAGTAAATTAGAGGCAACAAAATTCATTTATTTTTAACAATATTAAAATATAAATACATATAATGTAAAAAAAAAAAGGTGACATCCAAGGCAATGCCCGAACCACTACACATACTAACTACACAAATTGTCCAACATAATTGTTAAATTAAAGGAAGAAGTACACAAATTAGCAACCCGGGGCATCGCTCGATCGAGATACACACTAATTATATTATTAATAAACGCGTGGTTTTGTCATTCAATCATAAATTAATACAATACTTGAAACAATTTAGAAAATGTAATTTTAAACCCTAAAGTTCTAGTTATAACCACATAAGAATCATGTCTCCACTATATAAACCTAAAGCTACGTTACTCAGCATTCACCACTATATTTATATGCTATACTCTCCTCTCCGATTACCCGAAAATGCCATAGGACATGCCCAAGCTTCTTGGATCTAAATATATTAAAATTGAAAACATATTTTTAAAACTTTATAGAATTTTTACTTGCTATATTAAATTTATCAATATATTTTGCATAAATTAGTTGTCAAACTTTGAATTGGAAAAGCGGGGAATGTTAAAAGTGGATTAAGAATTGGAGCATATATATACGAAGTATCCATTAATCAAATGGAAATATGAGATACATTTAATAAAAATAAATTAAAAAAAAAACTTTAGGACAAAAAAATACTCATATGCATGGCTTCTTCTGATCTGATTTGTTCCATTAATAAGGGATACATTTTGATTGCCGTATACTTGTATACCATAATTTTAGGACATTTTGATACCATAAATCCATAACTAGTGGGTTATAATTAATTAAAGTAATTTTGCAATCAATTGTTAATTGTCTATTGACATGAATTGAATATGTAACAAGTGTGATTTCTTAATTAGAGTATATGATTCTTTCACTACTGCAATCAAGAATCTTTACCATTGAAGCTTTTAATACATCTCATTTAGATGTTTCATTATTTAGTATTGATACACTGAAATAAACTTTTCTTTCTTTGGTCTGGATGATAATGATAAATATGCATTTTATAGTATTACTTTCGTCCATGTTGCTAGAAGATGTTCTTATCTGTTGGTATAATATAAGAATAAGTCGTTTATGGAAGGGGTACGGGTCTCAATAAAAACTACTTTTTTATGCGTAATAGGACACTTTTAATCCTATATAATGACGGACTAATAACTCATAAAACAAATACTAATTCGAAAATGTTTGATTGACAAATAGAGTTTTTGTGTGTTTAAACCACGTAAATAGGGGAAGGTATACTTATAAAGTTACAGTAGATGTATGTTTAATTAGCGTATTATTAGTATAAGGTTTATTAGGATACTTAATCTTAATGAATAAGCTATTTTTATGCATAGAATAATTATTTTAAGAAAACTTCCAATTAAGTAACGGGATCAAAAGTCCACCAAAATGTAATTTATTCATATGTAATAATTTGTATTAGTGTCAAGATTTAGGCCGGTACTACAATATACTTTCAAGTGGAGCATAAGATATGGTTGAATTTATAAAAATAATTCTTAAGTAAAAGGTACAGTTGTACTCATATGGCTTGTCATCTTTTTCTGGCTGGCAAAATATTATATTTATTTAAAGTAAAATTAACAATAAAATCTAGGAAATTACGTTGACCAAAAGGAAGAGTTGACCACTTGAATAACGTTGGATGCACTTTTTTTTTTTTTTTTTTTTTTTTTTTTTTTTTTTAGGAAACGTTGGATGCACTATAGATAAGTCAAATCACAACCACTTCAAAATAATACATGAAGTTTATGTTAGTTCTTAGCTAAGTGATTAAAAAGCTTAATTATTTATACATTGCTAATTATTTTATTTCTAAGGAGAAAATGCATTATTGTGCATTATCATCAATTGATTATTGATATTATTAAGAAATATTGTGTTCTTAGAAAATGTTTGTTAAATTACACTTGTAAAAACTTCAGCATCTCGATTGTTAATTGCTAGAATTTGATTGGAATTTTTTTTTATGATCAATCAATGTTACAGGCTTAAATTATTAGCTAATCAAATAATTCAAACCGATTGTGTAACTACTTCTCTGTATATTATATTATTAAAGTACTAGCTTTTTGTCCCGTTCGATGCACGGTTTATTTCTTATAGAATTTTTTGAGGTGTGTTTAAGAAAATGAAATACCTCATTTTGTTACTTAAATAATGCAAGTTATGAAATGTCTCGAATCTTCAACTGTTTAATGATGTATAATATATATTTAATTTAATTGGAATGTGAAAAAAAAATGATGTTAATTACATGTAATGAATTAACTTGAAAAAAATTATTGATGATTTTTATATAAATGTTTTATAAATATATAGAAAGAAAAAAAAATGTTAAATAGTGAACGTGATATGTGGTGCTATTTGTGTGGTGCTATTTATTCCTGTATGACGGTTTGTGTTATTATATACTAAGAAATGTACTAACTAAATATAAATAGATATACATGGTACCAGGAGCCAATTTTCAAACTTGGCCTTAAATTATTTAAATTAGGAAGAGAAATGAATCGTTTTTTTTTTTCAGATATGAATAACTGGATTTTATTAAGGAACAATCGACTCCAGTTGTCCCTTACGTTAAGGCCCTTACGTTAAGGCCAGGGGAGTCCTTCTCAAATTGGTCTTGTACATATTTTTATCCGGTCTGACCAATTAATAATGCACATGTCCTGCTTTCATTAAGCGAATTTAAAATAATTAAAGCTTTAATTTATTGTACCGCTCTAAACCCTTTAAACTTGTTTTCTTCGGCTCAAAACAATACAAAGTATTTTTTAGTAAAACATACCACCAAAAATTTGACATACTACGTATGTCAATTATAACCAATTTATCCAGTCGTAGAGGTTGTTTTAAGATGAAACCCTTTAAAATTAAGACCATCATAGATTAATTAATTGTAGAGACCTTTTAACGAAGAATGTCCATATATAGATATGGTATTGGTACATTAATATTTCCTGTAATTAAATATATGTGGAAATGCTTAAGGGAACTTAGGGTCCCTTCTCCCATGCACCCGCAACATGCACGTAATGACTTTTGACTTATGAGCGATTAAATTTTGTAGTGTCCCAAAAACTCCAATATTATAAGTGGTCATTGGAGTGACTTATAAGAAATGGCTAAAACCCATGCATTTCCATTATCCTAGTTTTTGTTGATAAAACAATTTCTGTTTTGGATTGGTTATATTTTGTTTTGTTTGTTATTTGGCTGACCAACTAATTTTTTTTGCTATGGATGATATCCACACAAAAAAAGATATATAAGTAAACAAAGTATGCTATGAAAAATGTGTGCCAATTTTTAAATTTTTCTCTTGGTTTAGTATTTTTAATTTTTCACCAAGAAGAAGAATGAAATTGAATAAAGCCCTTATGTTTAATTTTTGGATTATTGGTGCTTGCATAAATGAGCATTATAATTTTTACATAAAGCTTTACATACCTTCTTTGTGTTTTAAGATGACCACGGATGTACAAAATACTTTATATTTCTTTGCAAAAACTAATGTGAGATTAGTCTTACCATAACGACTTACAATTCACAGCATTTTGAAAAATCCAGGTTAGTTTAGAGATGATATATATAAATCTAAGCGTGATTATTATTATTATTATTATTATTATTATTATTGAAGTACTTCTGTGACCGTTTTAGTATGCACATGTAAACTATTCCACACCGGGGAAGAGGGAAAAATCATTATACATGTAAGCTTGTAAAGTTACTTTCCTATCAACTATTGGTTTTGGGACAGAATCTCCTATGGGTTTATAGTTAAGTTAGATTTATTATAATAACCCATACCCATTTCATCTTGTTTAAGACATTCAACATTGTATCATAACCTATATTTGTTGAGCCCTTAATAATTGTGCATATTATTGCCATGGCATAGGTTAGGGCCTCTATTTAAAGAATAATAATTGTGTCTTTTGTGTATTTGTGTTACCTTCTAGTGTGATCTAATTTTAATGAAACTCATCAATGTAACTATGAATTAAGGGATTTTTTCTATATCGTTGAGGAGTAACTTGATGTGTATGTCTCACCACCATATTGGTCGGATGATCATCGGATGATATTTCATTGTTTTTTTTTCTTTTGCTAAAGTTTGCCTAAATTATTCTAAACCGCATTAAAGTATAGTTTCTCCAGTCTTCTAACATTAAAGACAAAATCCCACATGAACGAAGTGACCCAACAGTTTTTTGTGTTTTCGCAAAGAAATTGACATTAAATAGTATTCTACGAAAATTATGTAAATATCAATGTCTACGTTTTTATTATGCATGATAACTGGGCCATATGGCCCACTAGTTTCCTAATCTATAGGGTTGATATCAACCAATGAGCAATTTTTCACAAATTATTTTGTTCCAAGTATGAAAAAAAAAATGCATGCATTTTTGTAATTTGTTTTTTTTTGTCAAGAGATATGGTCCTAAATCACTTTCACCTATCAGTAATTGTCAAATGCGTAAACATAATATTCATTTATACATTAAGTTATAGAAATTGCAATGCCATTGGTCACTCCAATCGTAAATTATTGAGTTGGAATTCTTATAAATAATAAATATAATAAGACAACATATTATTCGATCTACCTTGAAAGTAACTAATCTTGATTATGACTTTTTTTTTTTTTAATACAGGGTTTGGTTGTTTTAACCGTGCAAGCTTACAAACCCTCCCTACAACCGCCGCAGTGTAACCCAAAGGACCCCACAACAACACCATGCCGAGAACCTAACACCTCGGAAGCAGCAATGCTCTACATAGGACTCTACTTAGTGGCCGTTGGTGTTGGAGGGATTAAAGGGTCCTTACCAACCCATGGCGCGGAGCAATTTGATGAGAGCACTTCTCAAGGAAGGATAAAGAGATCAACGTTCTTCAACTACTTCGTGTTCTGCCTATCAGCTGGTGGCCTCATCGCCACGACGTTTGTAGTTTGGGTGGAGGACAACAAGGGCTGGAAATGGGGCTTCTTTATCTCCACCTTGTCTATATTGTTATCTATTCCTGTCTTCCTGGGTGGTTCTCCATTTTATCGTAACAAGATCCCCTCTGGAAGTCCTCTAACTACCATATCAAAGGTATGCAAGATTATCATAATGTATTTTCTTTCAATATAAAATTATCTCAAAATCTATATTTCTTGGAATTAATATAGGTGCAACAATCCTACCATGTGAATTTAGTGTGCATCCAGAATGTTTAAATTAGCAACCAAATTGGTTTCTTTTTGGTTAATTAGTGAGGGTAATTGACTAACTTTCTCACTAAATAGCGACACATGTGAATTTAGTGTGCATCCAAAATGTTTAAATTAGGGCTTGTTTGGCATCATTTTTGGTTTTCAATTTCCTGTTTTTTTGAAAACTAAAAACCAAAAAAGAAACAAGAAAAAGGTGTTTCCACTTTTCTATAGTCAGTTTTCAAAATTATCATGATTTTAATAAGTCTAAATAATTTTTGGTTCATTATGTGACATACGAAGTATATAATATACTTTTTTTTTTAAAAAAAAAAAAAAAAAAAAAAAAGAAAATCACAGCGATGCCAAACGTACCCTTAGCAACCAAAGTGGTTTCTTTTTGGTTAATTAGTGAGGGTAATCGACTAACTTTCTCTCTAAATAGCGACACATGGGCTAATTTATGTAGGATCATAATCAACTCCATAGACAATACAAGGAGCAAAAAAAAAAAAAAAAAAAAAAGACAAAAACTTCTACAACTGTCAGGAAAAATAGCTACATAGATAAGAGCAATTTCAATAGTTGGTTGTATCTAGGGACTTGCTTGTAATTTTAAATAGTCTTTAGCTACAAGCTTGACTAGCTAGCTAGAATATGCAATTAGCTTGGCCAAGCTAGTTTGCTTGAAAAAAAAACTTGTTAAAAGTAAAATAGTCATAAAGATTAAAATTATAATTTAAACAGTTAGTTAATAGCTAGCCATTGGGATCCAAACTAACTAGAATTATAATTTGGTTTAAAACTTGACAATTGGTTTGCCATTAGTAGAGTTGCTCTAAGAAGATAAGTTTATATTAAAAAGGTGCATTAGACTTATCAACTTATGATATTGTTGAAATCAAGATGTTTAGGCCTTACATCATTGTTTTATCTACCATATTAAAGATGGAGGAGTAACCAACTTTGCTTTAATTTTCTAAATGCAGGTATTAATAGCTGCTACACTCAACAGCTGCATGAGCAAAAACACCAGCAATGCAGTAGCAAACATGGCTGCGAGCCCACAAAGTTATCCACTACAAACGTCTAAGGAAGGCGAGGAATCAATGAAGGGTTGCCAAGAGATAATAGAAACTGATCCTTTGGAAACATTAACAGAGAGCTTTAAACCGTTAAACAATGCAGTGAACTCAAACCCTTTTTCTCCATCACTAAGATGCACCATAAAAGAGGTAGAGGAAGTAAAAATAGTCCTAAAAATCTTTCCAATCTTTGCAAGTACAATACTTCTCAACTGTTGTCTAGCCCAACTATCTACCTTCTCGGTGGAACAAGCTGCATCGATGGACACCAACCTCGGCTCCTTGAAAGTCCCCCCGGCCTCACTCCCCGTGTTTCCTATAGTCATCATCATGGCCCTTGCACCGGTCTATGACCACATTATCATCCCCTTTGCACGTAACATTACTAAAAGAGAGACCGGTATTTCTCACCTCCAGAGGATTGGTGTTGGCCTAATCCTCTCGGTTGCAGCCATGGCCGTGGCTGCCCTAGTTGAGGTCAAAAGGAAACAAGTAGCAATCGATCAAGGAATGGTTGACTCGGTTGAACCATTGCCATTAACTTTCTTTTGGATTGCTATTCAGTACGCGTTGCTTGGATCAGCCGATCTCTTTTGCCTAGCCGGGATGCTAGAGTTCTTTTTTACTGAAGCTCCATCAAGCATGAGGTCTCTTGCAACCTCGCTCTCTTGGGCGTCGTTGGCCATTGGTTACTACCTTAGCTCGGTTATTGTTTCCATTGTTAACGCGGCTACTAGAAGAGGGCATGATGAGCATAATGCTTGGTTAGCCGGGAGCAATTTGAACCGTTACCACCTTGAGAGGTTTTACTGGTTATTATGTGTTTTAGGTGCCTTAAACTTCTTAAACTACCTCTTTTGGGCATGTAAGTACAAATACAGATCAACTGGATCAATAAGGTGATTCAGAATTAAACTATTTTGCATTTTCCTTTAGGTGGGGCGAACCTATAAACTACATCTTAATTCATACTAGTGAAATACTACGATAATCACTTGTACATTATTACATCTATTTTTTATTTTAATCCCGAAAAATTATGGGGGTCGAATTTTAATTAGGTGATCAACCAATATTAATACAATCATTTGTAACCAACAATAATCTAATTAAATGATATTAATAATGACAAACATATTGGAGGTAATAATTACAACATCTAGACAGGTGCAATATGAAACTCAATGGGGCTATATTTTACCAAATATCCAAAGAGGCAAATAACCAGGCAAAGGTTGGCCTAAGTCATGAGATCAAATTCCACTAACAAAGCATTTTATGTGTGTCTAGTTATACCGTATGACCATTTGTAAAAAAAAAAAAAAAAAAAAAAACTGGAGAAACCCCTACAACACTAACAAAATAATCCCTTTAACACTTACAGAGTAACTCCTCCCATTATATTGATAGAGTAACACCTCATTATACTTATTGAAGTATTCTTTAAATAACAAGTAACCTCTACAACACTAACAGATTAACCTTTATAATTCTAGGTGAGTAACCCCTATAACACTAATCGAGTAATCCGTAATGGCAACCACTAAGCTACATATAAAAATTACTCCCATTGTATTTTACTCCGTAATAAGTGTTACACTTTGACCGACACATAGTTGTAGACAATTTAATTGACTTAAAATAAAATAAGAGATAAGTGTGATAGTTGGAGTATTAAGAAATTATTTAAAAAAAAAAAAACAATAGTGAAGTTAGTAGTTTATTGATAAGTAATAAATGAGAGAAATTAAATAGTTTAAAAGTAGCCTCTCTTCTCTCTCTAAAACCCCAGCCTCTATTATTGAATATTGGAGGGGCTTCCATCGATATTTATCGGTGGAAAGCCCCAATCGTTTGTTTTTGTGTGCTTTTTCTATTGTTTTAGGTTAATAATAACTCTTGCTCATCTAGGAGGAATTTTTCTCCCTCGAAAGACAGGGTTTTTCTTCTTCTTTAGGAGGATTTGACTCCTTCGAAAGACCGGGTTTTTCTTCTCTCTTTTGAGGGAAGATTTGCTTTTTTATTTCATGGATTGCTATAGAGTTGTTTCATGGGTAAAAATTTGTGCGGGATAAAAAAAGAGGTTATTATTTCGATTACAATCTAGCGAATCAGACGGAAAATTTCTGCACGGCTACAACAGATCGATAAACCCCCTCGCCGATGAAGGCTGTAAATCACAGCAATATGAAAGAGGGTATGAAGAATGTACGATTTGCAACAACGATCGTCGCTTTGCTTATGGAATGTTTTTATTTGATTCAATTATTATGTATTTATTATATCTAAATCTCTTTGTAGATGTCGTATGATTTTATTTGTGAATCAATTTTATTTCAAAAAAAAAAAGTTTAAAAGTAGTATTGAGTTTTGATAGGAAAAATAAAAGGAGAAATATATAATATTAAAATATTTCAAAAAATAAAGTGTAACACTTATTAAAATATGGAATGAGTTCTCTCAAAAAAAAAATATGGAATGAGTAGTATTTTTGAAAAAAAAAAGCCAACTTTGCAAGTGCTTTTTTGTTTTAGACAAAAACTTTGCAAGTGCTTACGAGTAGCTTTTTATGGAGTAATAATCGAGCTCAGTAGTTAATCTTGTAAATGTATGGACCAAAGCCGCTGCTAAGAACACGGGCCACATTAACACGGGCCGGACTGTTTCATTTATTTTAAAAGACTCTTTGGATCATTCTCTAATCGAATCATTATCCACTCCAAAATTGGTATAAAATTAAAAACCCAATTATTTCCCAAATTTGCTTGATCAAAATTAATGTAAGTTGTGTTTGTTAATACTCTCTCTGTCCAACAAAATACGTCTCATTTTTGTGGTGAATTGCTGAATACTGCAACGTTTTTTTCATCAAACCGCCAACAAAAATGATGATGAGACAAAATTATATTTACTTATCCCATTTTTTTTTTACGTGCACTTTTCTTTCTCTCTCCTAACTCCATTAAGCCTCAAACTCAACCGTCAACCATCACAAAAGCAACCACCACCGCCACCACCAGACCATGTCACCAAACTCACCACGACCACCAACACCCATCATCACCGCCCACAACCACCATGAGGTACCATAGTTCTTTTTTGTGTTATTTGGAAGTTTGGAACCACCAACAACAGTCTACAACCATCGGAAAAACGACTACTCACCACCTTCTGCGTGAAAAACTCGTCAATCGGCCCGGCTTCCAGCGCCAGTCGACCACAATAACAGGCGTCCAAAACCTGTTACTGTGATGTTTAATTGGTTTTGTGTTCCGGTCGTGAGTTCCGAAGATTATAGAAAAAAGATCGGAGATGACGAATTAGTTTTGTCGACCACCGTGATGTCAATTTATCACCTCCGATTGTCGTTGTATTCTCTGGCCTTCCACCTCTGATGCACGATCGCCACTTTCCTTCATCTCTAGTATACAACCGCTGATGTGGCTAGGAAGTGATGGTTGTGGCCCTTATGGATGATCAGGGAGAAAAAAAAAATAAAAGAGAAAGAGGAAGATGGGTGGGGTATAGTAAGGGTATTGGTGTCCATTCGTCCTAAATTTTGGCAGTTTGATAAAATTGTTGGTGGTGTTTAACACCTCCTTTTAGTACTTAAATTTAACAGGATTTTGTCTCCTAAAATAAATGGTTTTACAAGAGTTGTTTTTTGGTAGGTAAGATAAAGAGCTATATCGGGCCAATATTCGTCATGGATCATCTCATATCAAAATAGTAGACTAGACAATTTGGGAGAGTGGGTAAAAAATAAGGAAATTCCCTTTCCCAAATTATTTTTTACTGGGGATTGAACCTACTCTCCTTTTCACTATATACCAAGCTTAGCTTGGTGCGTTAGACTTTAGAGGAGTAATGAAGGTGAGTTTTTATTATATGTTCATAAATTAAATAGGTTATGCTATATGTGCAATCACAACGGGAAAGTACAAACACAATGTTGGAGTTATGAGAGAAGTGTTATCAATTGCACTGCTGCTAAGAGCATATCCAATATATAGCAGTGGCAGATTCACGATGGGTTCAAGAGGGTTCATTGAACCCACTGATTTTTTGGAAAAAAAAGGTTATATATATATATATATATATATATATATATATATATATATATATATATATATATATATATATATATTTGTTAATAAAACTTGAAAAACAAATACATCCAATTGATGTGCATGAATAAGAATGGGGAAATAGTGGAGCTCAGTAGTTTTGAGCTGAAAACATATGTGTGCATTGCAACTAGTGGTTAGCAGTTCGATTCTCGATAACTTTTTATTTTAATCTTTTTTATTTTTTTTTTCCTTTTTTTGTTAAATTTTCCCCCTTTATTTCTCTTTCCTTAGCCTTTTTATTTTTTTCTTTCTTCTTTTTTGCTTCAAAGACAAAGGTTCGATTCCCATGTAACATACGTTCTTTTTTAATTGCAACATTTACTATTTTACCATATTTACACACACTCTTTTTATTGTTTTTTTTAATGTGTTCTCATGTTGGGAAAAAATATGTACAGTCAAATGATATATTCTTATATTCAATTCATCTAAAAAAATGCTTTAATGATATAAACTTTCTTTAATTTTACAAAAATATAAAATAAGATATTTAAGTTATAGAATTTGTATTAACAAACGTAAAATCCCCAATGTTACAATTATAAAAGACCGGGGAGGGGGGCTATATTTTTTTTTAATGATTCCGATCCCACACTTTTAAATTCCTGGATACGACACTGTCCAAAAGTACTACAATAAAGTTTGCCAGTAACTATCTATCTCAACTTCTCCCTTTAATCCTCTACCACTAACCTCTATAACTAAGGGGGTGTTCAGTTAAGAACTTTTAGATGTTTGACCATTTAAAAAAGTTTTATACGATATTTGGTGAAGAGTTGTTTGAAAGAGCATTTTGAGAAGCTTTAGCCATTTTGTTGGTTACACTCTAAAATAACATAACTAACACTAATTTACGAAATGCTTTACATAAACAATTATTTATAATGTGTTAGTCAAAACAACTCATACAAACTACTAATTAACAACTAGTCGGTATAGGCCCTAATTGGTGGTATCGTTTTAGGTAGTGGTGAGTGTTTGGACCAAGTCAAAAGTAAGAAATACTAAATGTGTTTGGTAAGGTACCGTTTCATGTAGTGGTTAAAGGTAGAGATACTGTTTTAGATAACTTTTGTCAAATGTTAAAAATATTAGCGTTTGAAAGGTAGTGGGTATCATTTGACAAATTTTGTTCACTTGTTAAATATTATGCATGTTTTTTGAACTGTATTTTAACATTTTTACCTTATTTTCGCCAAACACTCATATTGTTAACCGCTATATTACAGCTACCCTATACTCACTACTAATTGACAAATATTAGCTACTTTAACAGCTACCCGCTACTCGACATGTAAAAGCTATTCACTACCGCTAATTTTGCCAAATAGGACCATAGTTAACAGCTAACTGCTAATTCCCAAATAGGACCTAAAGCAAACCCCAAAAGTTATGTCTAACACTAGTCTAACCGTCTAACTCTCAAAAGCGTGAACACATACTAAAATGAAAGGATCTTTAAGATTGTCAACATGCCTCAAAATCTAAGGTGGTCATAACTATTTTTTTCTTTTGGAAGTTATCATACAATAGTTTTATGTTTCTATTTCTGCAGGAAACAACTCGGAGTGTTAGGGTAGGGTATCAAGAGCTCCTAGAAACTACGTCCAATGATTGTCCAAATGTCCTTTGGTTCCGCCTATTAAAGGTATGTTTGAGAACTCCGCCTTGCACAGATATGTCTGAGATTTTTTGTAAACTTATCTCTCGTGGGGTTGGGGGTCGCGTTCCTTCTTAATGTAGCTAATGTGGTTAATGTTGCTATCCTCCCTTACCATTTCTGGTAGGAAATGGGATGAGGGCGTTCCTTTCCTATCTCCATGCGACGTGGGCACCGGTTGTATTCTAAGTTGATTCAACAACAACCTATATTTACTTTAAAACTTTGGAAAAATTATCAAAAATAATACAAACTTTGAGCGATCCGCTAAAAACAAGTCAAACTTTTAATTATTTATAAATAATATAAACTTTAAGGGATGTCTGCTTTAAACAAGTTATTTACCTACATCTTATTTAACCGGTTTTTTTTTTTTTTTAATTATCTTATAAAGTTGTTTAATAGTTGTAAAAAAATAATACAATGTCACGTGTTCCATATAACCTATTCATGAGGTAACTAATCGGTTTTAACTTGTTTAAAGCGAATAACCCTTAAAGTTTGTATTATTAAAAAATAATTAAAAGTTTGACTTGTTTTTGGC